CTTTGGGCATCCCTGAGTTGTCTCTCCTCACCTGTAGCCCTGGGGCTTATACTAGATGATAATCAAATATAAATCTTAATAAAACATCATTCAGTAATATTAAGACTTGTATCTGCCCATGTGGAGCCCTGCTGAGATCTGTCAACATTATATTGTTGCTTTGTTTTTGTTCTTAATCTTTTCAACATGTGAATAGTAATGTTTGTGTGTTCAGACAACTTCATATTTCTGTCTTTTATTTTTCACTCCAGGGACCTTGGAATCCCATAATAGACTGGCTTGTGTTGAATTTCACCAACTTTCTTTGGTTGTTTATCAGCAGTACTGAAGAGTACATTTTAATTTTTTTTCCCTTCTCTAAAACCAGTTGCTACACATTGATTCTAAGGCATGGTGACCCCATGTGTGTCAGAGCAGGACTGTGGGCTTCATGACACTCTCAGTGGCTGATTTTTTCACAAGTAGATCACCAGGCCTTTCTTCTGAGATGCCTGTAGGTGGGCACAGACCTCCAGCCTTTCAGCTCGCAGCCAAGCACACACACACACACACACACACACACACACACACCCCGGGACTCCTCTCCCTCTCTGTTGTTGTCGAGTGCTGTCCAGTGGCTTTTGACTCCTACAGACTCTCCAGGACAGACCAGAACTGCTCCGTAGGTTTTCTTATGCTGAAATCCCTGCAGGAGCAGGCCATCTAAGTATCCTTTGTTTACTGTTTGCCTCAGGTTTCCTTTGACCTTTTCCTTAGTATTTGCAAGTGCCATGTCATGCTTTCCTTATCTTCCTTCTTGCCTGCTTTCTTATTTTTTACTTCCATTCAGCATAATAATGCAACTCTTACTTCACCGAGCTGTTCTGTTCGCTGTAGTAATCCTTTGTTCTCTCTGAGTCAGAGCCCACTCAGTGGCAACTAACAACAACTCTGATTTCTGTAATTGGAAAATTAATGATGATTTTCATATGTAACATTTTTATTATTATATTTCATATGCTATTTAAGAATAATGCAAATTAATACATTTAACACTTTTGAAAATGTGCTCCTATTGCATTTATTTCACTGATATTTTCTCTAGTAATACTTCTTAGGAACTATGTGAATTGACTTTTTGTCTCGCTGAGTTTGAAGGTTCAGTATGTAGGCTTAACTTTTATTTATAGGATGCATGAGATTTAACTTCTTAACTTTGTCTTACAACTATAGCTTTGTTGGCAAGGGTGTGACAATTGGATTTTAGATAAAATAGAATTTGAGGCAAAAAATCTTTAAGTGGTACTTTCAGAATTTCTAACCTTAGCTCTGTATCTTTGAACTTTTGAGATATCCCAAGACTTTGTTTATCAAATGACAGTTTTTTGATATGCAGGTCTGCCATGCAGAGCTTGAGTTGGGGACTTGTTTTCAAGCAATAAATAGCAGAATGCAGTTACAAATTCTTGAAGCACAATATCTTCCAAGCTCATCAACACCTTTGACTTTGAGTAAGTATATCAATGGTTCAAAATGGAATCTTCAAAAAGTATTAGTAAAAGATTTTTTTCCTATGTTTCCTATATTTCTTACAGTAGAGATTAACATCTTAGTAGCTTTTTGCTGCTTTAACTTAAAATTACTTTATTGGATTTCAAATTTTAGCTACTGTGCTTGCCTTAATCCACTGGTCTTTTGATCCTTATCCAATTGTGACCTCTCTGTGTTTGATACTGCTCCTTATTTAGCACATAAGTTCACAGAGGTTGAGTGTCCGGAGGATTGTCAGGTTTGTATCACCAACCTTGATCATGTCTTTAGATGGATGTTCTGCTAATTGGAAACGTTCTTCAAAACAAAACAAAACCCAAAATATCAAAAAAAAAAAAAAAAGACTGTCTTAGTTATCTAATGCTGTTATAACAGAAATACTACAAATCGATAGCTTTAATAACCAGAAGTTTATTCTCATAGTTTAAGGATCTCGGAGTCCGAATTCAGGGTAATAGCTCTAGAGGAAGGCTCTCAGCTTTGGGGGAAGGTCCTTGTCTTTTTTCAATATTTATGGGCCTGGTGTTCCTTGCAAATGTCTTGGCATCAGTCTTCCCCTGGGTCTGGGAGGTTCTCAGCACAGGGTTCAAAGGATGTGTTCCACTTTCAGCTCTTCTTGGTGACAGGAGGTCTCTTTGAGTGCTGCTCACTTCCTTAATCTGTTTCATATCTCAAAAGAGATTGACCCAGGATACAACCTAATCATGTAGTTTCTATCCTGCAGAATAACTGCCTCTAATCCTGCCTCATTAACATCATAGAGGTTAGGATTTACAACACACAGGATTAATTATATCAGATCACAAAAAATGGAGGATAATTACATAATACTGAGAGTCATAGCCTGGTCAAGTTGACACATATTTTGGGAGGACACTCTGCTGGCATACTGGGTAAGGCATTTGGCTGCTAGCCAGAAACTCAGAAGTTCAAACCCACCAACTTCTCCTTGGGAGGAAGATGAGGCAATCTACTTCCATAAATATTCCATTGGGGGTTGTTATGAGTCGAATAGACTCAATAGCAATGGGCTTGGTTTTTGCTTGTGGGAGGACACAATTCAATCCATAACACAAAGTTTGGCCCATTTTTCCCTCCCTTGGTGGGAGAGACATTCTTGAGTTCCTACTAACCTAATGCCATGCTTCCACTATTTATTCCTTACTTTCCCTTTTGAACTCAAAGATTCTGAATTCTGTGTGACTGCATTCTTGCCTTTATTTCCTGGATTTAATCAGTCACTAAGATTTGTCATTGTTTTTCCATGTCATTAGAAAAAAAAAAATGCTCTTTTTTCCATAACATAGAATCACCATCTGTTCATGTTAGGAGCATTAATTGTTTCCAGTGATAGTATCTGCCTCGCTCACCATTGTAACCTCAGTACTAGGAGGATATACCTGGGGTTGAGGATATGATAGGAGCAGGACAGACCACAGTGTCTGTCCTAATTACAATCTAGTGACAAAAGTCTAGTGAGAGAGATCTTAATATAGCTAGATTGTTGTGGAAGAATTTCCAAATGGAAGTGTCTAGGAGGCAGTGTTGGCACTCAACATTTGGAAGAATACTAGAAACTGTGTTTTCTAAGAAGGGAGAATAATGAACAAGATGAAGGCATGACCCTTAGGGAAGGCCATTGTAAGGACAAAATGAAATAGAAGAGCTATTAGAATAGAGCAGGGAGAACCACAATAATGGGAAAGAATTAAGGGAATAGAAATGAGAGAGCAATGATGGCAATAAGATCTTTGCATCATTCGAAAAAAAAGTTAACTGATGACCTTTGAGAGCTTAATGTGTTAGGATGAAATCTAGGCTAATGCACTGATCACTTTACAAGCTTTTTAATTCTACCTCTTTGCATTGATACTTGGTTCCTTCAGTGCGCTTTCTTCAGACTGTCTTGGCTGATTTGTGGCCTTTTGGTTCTGTGCTAATAATTCAGATAGACTACTCTACCTGGTTCTATGTTCAACATCTCCTATTAGATTCACATGTTGTCTTTCTCTCTATTATCTGTGTTCAGTTTTAGCAGAGCACATTGCTGCCCAGAGTTAAATTAGAGTTCTTTCTCTAACAAAGAAGGAGAAAATGGGTTGTGCTGGCAATTTCTGGTCATTACCACAAATACTTAGAGCAAAATAACATATGTTGGAAATAAAGTGTTGCTCCAGTATATACTGGGTAACTGCTAACCAATAAAAGCAATTGTAGCAATTTTGTATTAGACAAAAGACATTTGAGTCCAGAAATAGTTAAACTGGACAAAGATAGTGTTTTTTTTTTTTTAATGAAAAGTACATTGATGGGAGCATAAGCAGCTATATGCTTCAGTCCCCCCTGCACACACCACACAGACACAAGGAAAAACAAACAGATAAACTGAAAGTGGTGGAATCAGTGGTCTGAGAGCTCTGGAAACCAGTTAAAGTGTTACAGCATCTAAATGAATCAAGAAAACAGCTGATTATCAAATGGTAGGAAAACTTTCCTGTCTACTATAGATGCTTTTCCCTCTCCCTGCCTCTGGCAGAGGAGGGCTATGACAATGCCTTCAGGGCTGGCTGTCACCAAACTGTGCTCCTTTTCGGCTAAGGAGCATGGGGGAAGAGACACCTTTTGTTGACGCACTGTTGTGTGTGACTCTTCATATGGTTGGTTTAGCCAGCCTCCATGCTCCTGCAGGACTGGGAAGGAAGCAGGGAGCAATGCCAGAAGGCTATGGCCACCCTCAGCCACCTGGGATTAATTAGTATGAGTGAAGAAAACAATAAAGCAGAAGAAAAGGGCTGGTGTGAGAGTTTCTTGCAGAATTTAGAACTTTCAAGAGCACTATCTAGTTTTGCCACTCCTCGGAAGGAAGATGGGGCAATCTACTTCCATAGTGATACTGCCTCGGAAACCCAAGGAGGGGTCGCTATGAGTCGGGTCCGACTCGATGGCACGTACCAACCAACCATCTAGTTTTGCAAAATGGCAGATTAGGAAGTTCCAAAGCCCTCCTTCCACCAAAACAATAATTGCCTGGGAAAGATCAATCGTGCAGAAACAGCAAGGAGGCCACATGTTCTGACCTCCTCTAATCCCACAAGAGGAAGGCAGAATCACCTTTACCTGGCCTATTACTGCAAGGCCAGACATGCTGCCTCCCTCCAGCCCTTTCACCAACCGTTTCTTCCAAAGCACCCACCACCTCTCTCCTGGGTTCAATAATTCACTGCAGTGACCACACAGAACTCACAGATTATGGAGTTTATTAGGGAAGCACCAGGCTACAATTCAAGTTCAGGAAAAACGCTCAGTCTCTCTCCCAGCCTGCTGTCTCTCAGCCAAGTCTCTCACAGTCTCTCCCCCAGCAGTGCATGTCCCTCGGTGTCTTACTCAGCAACGCGTGTCTTTTGCATCTCTTTCCCAGCAGGACGTGTCTCTTTCAGCAGCACGTCCTCCTCAACCAGCAGTCAGAGAGAGTTCTGCCTCTAGGAGGCCTCCTTTTGAGCCTGGCAGAGTGGCCAAACTAGCCAATCATAGCATCAGAACTCTAAGCAACTGAGAGAGAGTGGGACCCTCCCAGAACATTGTTTTGTGCCACTCCCAACAGAAATACTCCAGGCTGGCGACTAGTAATCAGGATCTCCTCAGTTGCTAATAGCAGTTCCCACCTTGGAGTTTACAAAGACTTATGGGTAGAAAAGCCACACTAAGTAATTTACTACACTGCAAATTGGAACCAAGTATTTTGGACCTCTGGAACCAGTTTGGACGCTTAAATCAACTGGAGGAGTGTATGATGAAGGACAAACTGCTGCTGTTTCCTAAGTGAACCACATGCACCAGCAGGCTACCTGCCATCCCTCATAATGGGGGGCTGGCAGCCAGTGTTCCTAGAGTGGCTGGCTGGGGCCAGGGTTGGCAGTGAGACCTTGTTCTCTAAGGATTTGGGGTTGCACATTTTGGGCACTTGGGTTGATCTGGCAGTGTCCTGAAGGACAAAAAACACAAAGGATTTGTATAGACATTCTGCCAAAGAAGATATACAAATGGCCAGCCAATAAGCACATGAATGCTCAATGTCGTTAGTTATTAAACCAAAAAAACAAGAGCTGCACTGAATTGTACAGGTAAGACTAGTCGAAAGGCAAGTGTTTTGTTATATATACTTCACTACAAATTAAAAATAAATCTACTAAGATGATACATCTCAAACTTTTATGTACCTAACAGTAGAGCAGAAATGAAAGATTGTGAAGCTGAGAATAAAATCAAAAAACCAAACTCACTGCCATCAAGTCGGATCTGACTCATAGCAACCCCTCTCCTTGGGTTTCCGAGGCAGTATCACTATGGAAATAGATTGCCCAATCTTCTTCCGAGGAGTGGCTGGTGGCTTTGAACCACTAGCCTTCTGGTTAGCAGTCAAATGCCTTAGGAACTATGCCACCATTGTGGGAGGATGGGATATAACTGTCTGTCAAAAATGGGCACGTTGACAGCAGAAGTCCCAGCATTGAATTTCATTGGTATGGCTTAGTTCATGTACCCATCCTCTGACCCAGTCACTGTGGCCAAGGTCATGATACCTTTGTTGTCTAGGCCTGGTTTACATTGCCAGTCCTAGAGTTGGAGGTTTGAGGTCAACCCTATTTATTTACAGTAAGAGCTCTGGTAGCATAGTGCCTAAGGTGCTTGACTGCTAACCAGAAGGCTGGCAGTTCAAACCCACCAGCTACTCCTCAGAAGGAAGATTGGGCAATCTACTTCTGTAGTGATACTGTCTTGGAAACCCAAGGAAGGGTTGCTATGAGTTAGGTCTAACTCGACCACATGTAACAACAACATAATATAGATACATATATTGTTATATGGTATCGGAAATAACAGATATGTTAAAATTTCTTGTTTTTTAGGTTTTTTTGTGAAGGTGGCAATGTTTAGCTCAGGAGATTTGATTTATAAGAAAAAGACACGCTTACTGAAGGCCTCCAGTGGACAAGTAAAATGGGGAGAAACTATGATTTTTCCACTTATACAGACTGAGAAAGAAATTATGTTTCTTATTAAGCTTTATAGTCGAAGCTCTGTAAGAAGAAAACACTTTGTGGGCCAGGTTAGTAGTGAGTTTTTATCTTGAATTCCTTTCTTTTTTTGGTGGGGGGAGGACATTTAAATAGTTTCTTAACAAAGGAAATACAGAATATAATTAAAGTTGAATAGAATAAAATTCTTCAGCATCATAGATTAAAATTTAATGTGGCCACAAAAACTAAATCTTGCTGGACTTTTTGCTTTAAAACAAGTAGTTGGAAATTCTGAGCAACAGGCTTTCTGTCTTAAAACATCTATTTCTGTGCTTTTCAATTTTAAAAACTGTAATTAAGGTTATTTTTTCGCTACTAGGAAGTACTTAAGTATTTAAATCAGATTTATATTTAACCTGTGCATTGTTCATTTGCTGTTAACTGGATTATATTAGATTTCAGTTCCTAGAAAACATCGATTTTAACAGGAGCTCTGGCAGCACAGTGCCTAAGGCATCTGACTACTAACTAGAAGGTTGGTGGTTGAAACCTACCAGCCACTCCATAGAAGCAAGACTGGGCAATCTACTTCCATAAAGATCTACCGCCTCGGAAACCTAGCGGGGTCACTCTCAGTCAGAATCGGCTCAATGGCTGTGGGCTTGGTTACTATTTAGTTATTCAGTACTGGTGTTGGATGAATCTACTTTAAAAATAACATGTAAGACCTAATAGTTGCTTACTTGCCAGTCCTCTCACTTGTTTCCTTTGTATTTCTTTTCTTTACTTTGAGTGGATTAGTATAGCTGTCTGTTACCTTTATCTTAACCATGATTGTTTTAACCATATTTAAATGACAAAATCTGTATTATTTGTTTAAATGCTTCCACTAGACCACACACTGTTATTAACAGTCTACATGAAATCCTCAGATTATAATGTGAATTTTCAAAGAGTAATATCAACTCTATGACTCAGTTTTTCAGATGGTTTACCTAATATATTTGTTAAAAAATGTTGTAGTTTTATTGTTCTTTTATTCTTACTTGGAAGAGTTGGAGCTCAACAGTTTATATAACTAGCATACGTTTGAAAGCCATGAAGCCTTTTCTTTCTCATCAAGCCTCAGCTATCAAGTGTCAGTGGCACAGGGAGTTTACTTGAAAGATGATTTTGAGGATGGCCTTTAAGGTGATTCCATTTTCCTTGGTGGAAGCTCTAGTTGGAGGAATAACTTTACACAGACTCTTGTTGCTCAGCTGCTCCCACAGCCTCTTTGGTAGCCTGGGGTCTACCATGATGGGGTAGCCACATGTGGGATCAAGGTCTCCAACCCTCATATCAACCAAAGCACTCTAATTTGATCACTTTTAGAGATTGGAGTTTCTTATAAGATTCTACTTGAAGAAAAGCTGCTTAGACCAAGAAAGAAAGGAAAAATGTTTGAAAACCAATGACCTGCTCTAATTTACTTATTTTAAGGAATTAGAAGTTAGATCTCAGAGAATTTAATTCCAAAGTAACAGCATTTGTTAGTTCTAGAGCTGAGATGGAAATTCAGGTCTTCTAGGTAGTCCTAGTCTACCTTGTCTCCATGATACGTAACCATTGTGATATCTTAAATTTGTATGTTACTTTATAGATTTCCAAAGGCATTCCCATATATTGTCTAAAGTTACATAAGTGATGAGTCCTGGGAAATTATTTACTACAGACCAATGACTATTTGTAAATTCCATAAAAATTACATTTTTACTTAATATAAAATGTGTACACATTCTTTACCAATCTTATTTAAATAATGATTGTTATTGTTGTTGTTATGTGCCTTTGAGTCGGACCTGACTCATGGCAACCCCTCCTTGGGTTTCTGAGGCAGTATCACTATGGAAGTAGATTGCCCCATCTTCCTTCCGAGGAGTGGCTGGTGGGTTTGAACCGCCAGCCTTTTGGTTAGCAGTCAAGTGCCTTAGGCACTATGCTACCAGAGCTCCTAAATAATGATTAGGTTTAGTAAACAGTAATCTTCACAAAAAGAAGTGGTTGGGATAGTTGAGTGGTTGGGATAGTTTTAAGTTGAGCTCCTAGATTTACTGAATAAGAAAGGATAATAATAATTCTGGAGAAAATAATTTGATAATATCTCATATTAAGTTTTTTTGATTGAATTGGTTCATTTAATCTTCTGAATAACCAAGCTGGCTACATGCTGTGACATTCAAGTTTCAAAGAGAGAAATTCAGTTTGGTTTTACATAGTTTCAATTAAACATCCTTTCATTTTTCCAAAAGAGAGAAATTCAGATTTTTGGAAAACTGAAAGGATGTTTAATTGAAACTTTGTAAAACCAAACTTCTAGATCTCTTTAATCAGTAAGAGTACTTAACTATTTGAGCTCAGTGTTATTTGTCAATTTAAATGATTGTACTGTTTCTTTACAGGTTTGGATAAGTGAAGACAGTAGTAACATTGATGCAGCAAACCAGTGGAAAGAGACAATTTCAAATCCAGAAAAAGTTGTTATCAAGTGGCACAAATTAAATCCATTATGAAGATTTCACGTTAATTTGGTGAACTTGGCATTTATTTTAGAAGATTTATTTCAGTTTGCTACCAATGAAGACACAGATTGCTGCCTTTGTCAATATATTTATGGAGGCCATAATTATAGTACATAATGGATCTGATAAAAAAATTAAATTTGATGAAAATGAAATTATATCATATATCCAAAGTGAAGGAAATGTTTGAAAACTATACCCAACAGACAGTAAAATAAAGGATAGTGCCACTTGGGCAATAAAATAAATTATAAAACCAACAAGAATATCAACCGCAGATGATTATTGCTATAGATGATTTAAAAAAAAAAAAAAAAAGCTTTAGCTGGATATTCAGAGCCTAGAATATCAAGGCTCCATCAGTGCTGTAGGCTGTAGAAGATTTAGCCCACCAACCGACCAGGTGTTGCCGGTTCCACTCTTTACCTTTTGCTGCGTATTTTCTCCACAAAGTAAAGATGAACTGAACCTTTTCAACCTGTTTTGTATTAGGGAAAGTTTGTGCCCTGTGCTTTGTAATTTCTTACCCAATATTTCACTGCATCTTTGTAAGCTATTTATCTGCAAAAAACGAACACTCCATTTCCTTCAGAAATAGAAGACTCTGTTTTGGCAAGAATAAATCAAAACACCAGAAGTTTGAAGTTTAACTGGAAACCCAGAATAACACATTGCTTCCTCCCTCAAATATTTTCCTTTTTCTTTTATTTGGAGTTGAAATAAGATTATTATGCGTATGGCTCAGTCTAATTAGCAGAATGAAATGAGCCTAGATAGTAAGTTCAATATTTTATGGTAATCATTTCTTTGTTTCTATTTTTTTATGTAAATTATTTGTTTTTATAATTTACAGTGTTAGAGTATTTTCCCATGTTTATTCATTACCATACCTGATAGTCAAACTAAACCAAAAACTCACTGCCATTGAATCAATTCTGACTCATAGTGACCCCTTTTGAGTTTCTGAGGTGGTAAATCTTTATGGAAGTAGATTGCCTAGTATTCTTTCCACGGAGTGGCTGGTGGTTTTGAACCACCAACCTTCTGGTTAGCAGTCAGATGCCTTAGGCATTACGCTACCAGAGCTCCATACCTAATAGTACTATGTAGCAAATAATTTCTATTGTCATTTTCTTTCAGGTACTAGTTAGAATTCAGTATGTGGAGATCGTTTCAGCTTAGTTGGCTGTATGATTTATTGCCTAGAGAATGGCATTTTGGAGAAACAAAACAAATAACACCATCCATGATTTTGGAAAACTTGACTTTATTTTTGCTAATTATTAGACCAAATACTCTGTATTCAGTTCTATTTTTCTTTCTTTCTTTATCCCACACATACCAAGAGATAGATAATGTTGCTTTAGGCCAAAAATAGACCCTACTATAGCTTAAGCAATGAGCCCTGGTGGTTAAGCGCTTGGCTGCTAACTGAAAGGTCAGTGGTTCAAACCCACCAGGTACTCCGTGGAAGAAGGATGTGGTAGTCTGGTTCCCATAAAGATTACGCTTTGGAAATCCTGTGGGACAGTCCTATACTCAGTTGGACACTTTGTCCAACATTCAGTTGGAATAGACTGTGTAGACCCAACAACAACAAATAGCATGAGAGTCCCCTCTTTATTCCATTTCCTGTGTTCTGTATAACTCATTAAAATTTTTCCAAATAAATACTTAATTCTACTTTTCTTAGGCACCTCTGCCAGCTACAAAATGTACGTATTTTATATCCCCTGTGTTTGTGTATCAGTAGAGGTGACAGATACTCTGTGCCACTGTGCATTTTGAAATACCTCTTTGAAACATAGTGAAATTGGCATATTGGATATTACTCGCATGGACTTTTAAAAAGATACCATCTTGAATGGTGGTATTTGAAACTTAGGCACAATTGCAGCTATTTAGCCACCAAAGAATCTATGGTCTTTTAGTTATTAAATAACAGGCTTTGTTCTTTTTAAAGGTCTAGAATTATATTTAGCCATTTCTGTGGTCTGTTAATGCATTCAATTCCTACATTCTAGTATATTCTGTTAATGCATTCAGTTCTTGCATTCTGATATATTTAGTCATGTATTTAACTCAATATTTATTTACTTTTCAGTATTTTTATAATATGTGTATAATGTTTAGTCTGTTGGGAAAGCTATCGGTTCTTCTCATATGTCTTATCCTGTGTAAATAAAACAATAAAAATAAAACGTTTTCATTTAAAAGACTTTTCACATACAAAGGTAGGGAACACACAGGTAAGGTCTCACATGTTTAAATCAGTTTTTACTTAGTTGTCTTCATGTGAGAAGGTACTGAAGCTTAAGAAGTACAATTTTCTGTTAATACATACAGATATTATGAGAAAAAACATTAGGAGCTAGTAATCAAAAATAAGATACTATCCACAAACCATTTTCTTTGTATTTGTTTAGGTATTTCTTGGTCTTTACGTGCTGGTAGCAAAAAGAAAGGAACCAGAATGATGCAGGGTACCCAGAGAAACCCATGGAGAGTTCAAGTTGATAGGTTGATAGTTGGCACAGTGCTAATCCATAAAATGTATTTACTTATAAACTTTCAGATTACCACAGTTAAATAGCTATAGCCCATGTTGACACTTAGCAGCACCATTTGATGTTCATTTAGCTTTATGTGATTTTTTTTTTTTTAGCAGAACTCTTAGAAAAATTACCATTGAAGTATATCAGTTCCAGTTTTTATCACATTGTTAAGAAGGAACCCATGGGATTTTGAACATATGCTATGTAATTGTGGTCTCAAAATAGTCTAAGTTGGCTTTTCTGATACTAATGTACTCAACAGCCAGGTGGAAACTATATTTCCCAGCAGTGATTTCCATTGTTTATCTAATCAGATATTTGCTTATTTATTAACCATTTCAGAAATTTGCAATATCAACTGTATATTTCAAAAATAGGAGCTCTGGTAGTGTAGTGCCTAAGACATTTGACTGCTAACCAGAAGTCTTGTGGTTCACACCCACCAGCCACTCTTCGGAAGGAAGATAGGGCAATCTACTTCTGTAGAGACACTGCCTTGGAAACCTGAGAAGGGGTCACTATGAGTCGAATCTGACTTGATGGTAGTGAGTTTAGTTTTGTTTCAAAAATACACATTTCCTTTTGCCATTGGGTTGACCATATTGAGGGAAGTACCAGATTAAATGTTTGCATCTATGATAGTTACAAATACATTTTCCAGTGTGTTCTAATGTATAAACTATAATTCTTTGTAAAAAAATAAATGTCTGATGCTTGCATTTTGGGCTGAAACATTGAATTGAGGAAAAGTTATCTAAAATGGCCATAGATGAAGTACTATGTTCATTCCGAAATATGTAGATTTAAGATACTAAAAATACACTGAAAGACTATGATTTTCATAGTACGTTTTGAGATTTGTTCTCTGGGTCATCATTCTTGAGTTGCTGAGGCAGGAGGATGCTAAGAATACCTGCCCTTCATGATTGTTGCTATTTTTGTTGCTATATGCCGTCGAGTCGGCCCTGACTCATAG